TAAATAAGGTCAGTAGATGTTGCCACTAGCTGAGTAAATCTTTTTTCTTTGATAGTATATCAGTTGCTGTCCTAGGTGTATTCCTATTTCCATTGTAAGAATGATGCCATTGTTTCTCTGTTGTCAGAAAGAAGATGGACCTATATGGCACAGGATTGCTATTCTCTGAAAGTGGTGGTGATTACGCTTCATCATACCAATTCCTTTGGGAAGAAGTTGACAGGTCCTTAGGTTATCTTGATATTCCCCCTCCCCAAACTGTCTTCCTTAATCTGTTTTGCAATGCTTAGTTTGAGAGGCAACCCCTTGTCCTGTACAGATGTTTCATATTTGTGCTTTAAAGACTTCTTGAAAAGTCTTTGCAATCATAGCTATCAAAAGATGACTGTGAATTTTTACGGCCCTTAAGTGAGAACTGATGGGGATATATACTCAATCTGCTACTAAAACCAAGAAGTGAAGATGGATCACCAGGCACGTGCAGAAAATCCTGCAGAGAGTCCCTGGAAGACTCTGAACAAATTTACTGAGATTAAAGTCTTGGCAATCATAGCTCTGGAAAAGCAGGAAGCATTTTGGTTGTGAAAATTTAAGAATGAAAACTGAGGCTGAAAAAAACCTTCTATCTCGGTAAAACTAGAGGGAAAGGTAGACTTTTGGAGAACTGTTGGTGAGAAGAAGTTAAAGGAGTCCAACTGAAAGTCAGAGGATGTAGACTTATTTATTTATTATATTTAGCATAAATGCAAGGACCAGCCAAATATTTGCCTGTTTTCCCAACATTGTGGGGTAATTCAAATATGAAAATAGAGAGAAAATTGTTTTATTAGATTCTACAACGGTTTAAGAGCTAAAATTAATTGATTTTAATGATTGTTTTCAAGATTTTGAGAGTCTTTTGAGTTCAATTGTCTTCTACATACGCTTGACAATGTGTACAACTGAAACATGTATTGACTAAAAAGTAAAGCCTGGGTGGTTTAGCAACCTCTGAGCTACTTGCAATTCTAGCTTCTTTAAGAAATGTTTGAAGAGAAACCAATAAGTCAGCTTTATAAAATACAGTATTTGAAAAGTGAATTTTAAGTTAGACTTTCCTTTATATTTGATCAGTGAAAGTAAGATTTAGAATATCCAATTTTGGGAAATCAATGGTAACATGAAATTAATTCATTAGAAAATATTATTCTGGGTCTATTACATTCCTCAAATAATGTGTACTATAAAAAGTGAAGGGCTTTTTACTGTGGTGATGTAAGAATTTATGTGATTTGGTCCTGTTCTATTATGGTTTTTCTTCTAATTTCAAAATAATATATCATTTTGGGAATAAATATTATATGAAGCAATCTCACTCTGATGTGTGAATTATAGTCCTAAAATACAGATTTTTGTCATCTTATGAAGAGTTTTAGTTTTAACAAACTTGGATACAACCAAAAAAAAATAAAATCTTACCTAATTTTCCTGATTTTAAAAAATGGATCTATGGTATGGATTTGTTACCATAGATATTTTTCAAAAGCCTTTGTGCTCTGAAATGAGAGGATGGCACATATATGGTAATGATAAAATTAATAAATAATTGAATTAATCTGTAGGCATATATTCATTTTTACTTATCACACGGATTTGGGGATTTTTTTTTCTTTTTGTTATGTTTAATTCATTTAATCACTATAATATATTTTGTTGGTTTTTTTCATTGTGTTATCATTGTTCAATGTAGACTTTTTTCTATTACAGCGTCTCAACAAAAAAAATATAAAAGGGGGAAAAATATCTGCCTGGACTGATTTAAGCTTGCCAAGAGTGCAGGGAGACTGTCACTTGCTATGCTCAAATTTCTCCAGAGTTGACTGGCTCATCTGAATGATATCATATGACCCAATTTGTACGACTTTTGTTCTTAACAAATGAAGATTGGTGACACATGGTTCCTCTAGTCTATTGTGTAACCTTGTTGTGATCTTTCCTGTCAACTTCAAACAGAGAAACCAGACTGTTTTAGGATTTTTTTAATTATTATTTAGCACTCAAGGGCAAGGCAACCCCTGTCATTAATGAAAAGAAGAGGGGAGATATGATAGCAGTATTCCAATATCTCAGGGGCTGCCACAAAGAAGAGGGAGTCAAGCTATTCTCCAAAGCACCTGAGGGTCGGACAAGAAGCAACGGGTGGAAACTAATCAAGGAGAGAAGCAACCTAGAACTAAGGAGAAATTTCCTGGCAGTTACAACAATTAATCAGTGGAACAACTTGCCTCCAGAAGTTGTGAATGCTCCAACACTGGGAGTTTTTAAGAAGATGTTGGATAACCATTTGTCTGAGGTGATATAGGGTTTCCTGCCTAAGTGGGGTTGGACTAGTAGACCTCCAAGGTCCCTTCCAACTCTGTTATTCTATATTAAGCAAAGTAGAACATTGTCCCAGACGAGAGATACAAGAAGAGGGTAGGATGGTTAGGAAAATATTATGCATGTACCAAGCTATCTGCCTGCTGCCCTCAAATGGGGCAGAATATTCCGTAGAAATAAAATTCAGGCATCAGTGTCATAGCACAATTCAGTTTAAAAGAGGCACTTAAAAAAAAAGTGATAGGGGAAAAACAAAGCTTTTTTTGGTAAACTTTGCTCCAATATATATTAATTTGCTGACATTTGAAATAAATAGTTTTTGACAAGGATCAGCAAATAATAGCATACAGGAGATCCTTAACTTGTGACCACAACGGCGCCCAAAATTTCTGTTGCTAAGCGAGACATTTGTTAAGTGAATTTGGCCCCATTTTATGACTTTTGTTGTCACAGTTGTTAAGTGAATCACTGCAGTTGTTAAGTTAGTAACACGATTGTTAAGTGAAACCCATTGACTTTGCTTGTCAGAAGGGTGCAGAAGATAGTCACATGACCCCGGGACACTGCAACTGTCATAAATATGAGTCAGTTGCCAAATGCCCAAATCTTGATTACATGACCAGGGGGATGCTGCAGTGGTTGTGTGAAAAACGGTCATAAGTCACTTTTTTTAGTGCCATTGTAGGTCACTAAATGAACCATTGTAAGTTGAGGACTGTCTGTACTGCATTTATATCTCATAATATCTATGAAGACTTCTTGACTACCAGACAACTTCTAAATTGTTACCAAGAAAATGACATGGATGTATTAAGCACAATTTAAGGCTAGTCTGCCGTATTTTAATTTTGTAATCCCAGCCAAAGATCGTGTCTGACTTCAAAGCTATGAATGCATCTTTGCTCTTTCCCTTATGGCAGGTTAAAGAGGGAAATACTTTTTAAAGTGACACTTTTCTGCACTGTGAAGTTACTGAGCAGATCAAGTCTTCACAGGCAGGTGTTTGATGCCCTCTAATGTACATTTATGGTATTTCCAGAAAGGAAATCTCCCAAGGATGGAAAAGCTTTGCACTGGCATTTAGTCTGGGTGCTTGGGGAAGCCCTACAGGAACCCAGTCCCTGTCCCAGAATCTGTTTTCTGTGTCAGACAGCAGTAAAACAAATGAAGTGTGCGACACCATACAGTGCATTAGCACACAAGAGTTTAAGTTGCTGGAATAGAAGTTTAATCACAGATTCTACATCAAAGGATTTCTATTGTCTTGAGTGGTGAATAACTTTCAGAGAAGGCTTAGTTTAGATGTTGGCTGCAATTGGTTGAAAGATCATCAGAGCAGTTATACTTTTTATTTATTTATTTATTTATTTATTTATTTATTTATTTATTTAAATGCTTTACTCAAAAAGGGACATCTGTCTGTCTGTCTATATTTCTATCTTTATATTTCTATCTCTCTCTCTTTCTCTCTTTCTCTCTCTCTCTCTCATCTATCTGTATGTATGTATGTATGTATGTATGTATGTATGTATGTATGTATCCATCCATCCATCCATCCATCCATATCTATCATCTATCTATCTATCTATCTATCTATCTATCTATCTATCTATCTATCTATCTATCTATCTATCTATCTATCTATCTATCTATCTATCAATCCATCCACCCACCACCCACCCGTCTATTATCTATCTCTATCTATTTCTCTCTCTCTCTCTCTCTCTCATCCATCCATCCATCCATCCATCCATCTCGCTATCATTAAAACTGAAACAAAATAAAAACAAGAAAGAAAATGGAAAGAAACCAAAGAAAAAGCAAAAAGTGGAAGCAAAAAATAAAGAAAAATAGAAAAGAAAAAATATATAAAGAAGTGGCTTCTGATATTTTCCACATAGTTACAGTATAAGTACAAATATATATTGACCCCAGTGGTGAAATCCAATTTTTTTACTACTGGTTCTGTGGGCATGGCTTCGTGGGCGTGGCAGGGGAAGGATATTGCAAAATCTCCATTCCCACCCCACTCTGGGGCCAGCCAGAGGTGGTATTTGCCGGTTCTCTGAACTGCTCAAAATTTCCACTACCGGTTCTCCAAAACCTGTCAGAACCTGCTGGATTTCATCCCTGATTGACACCCCCCCCCTCTATAAAGTTATGTCATATTGTTCTTCTTTCTATAACTTATCCTACCTAATCATCAAAACCATGTTATAATTTCATTTTTTAAAATATTTTATGTCAAAAGTCCATAAGACTTTATGGACTTTTGATAGGGTTGTTGATTTTAATTTATTTCATTGTGATTTGTATTGGAATTTGTCATTTTGTAAGCCGCCTTGAGTCCCTAGGGAGAAAGGCGGCATATAAATCGCAATAATAAATAAATAAATAAACAAGAGGCTTGCAGTCACCAATAAATAATGACTTTTCTCTAACCAAAGAAATCAATTTATCTATTTCAGCAAAATCTGTCAACTCCACCAACCATTCCTCCATAGTGGTACTGCTGAATCTTTCTATCTCTGTTGTGTATCCAGTAATCTGGCTAAAAAGCTGCATCTGACATATTAATGTAGCAGTGCAAATGTTCCTGGTTAGGACTTCAGTCCATTTCATCTCCCCTTCCCATTTTTCAGGTATTAGAAAAGGCTGTTCGCAATCATTCTTCTGCCTAATGTCAGGTGAGCTATCCTACAACTACCATATCACTAGATATTATTAGCCATATACTAAAATTACTAAATTTTGTTGCCATTAGTACTTGGCCATTTGCAATCAAAAGGCTATTGTCCTGGATATTCATGTGCATTCAAAGAAACAGATGGAAGCCAAGTGGACATTGGTGTCAGCTCAAGGGCATATGACAGACCTAGCCATATTGATTGATGGTGCTACCTCCTGGTGATGTGAAGATTTGTATTGTTACAATAATTTGGAAGGAGGGGCAGTATTGGCACCCCCTAACTTTTGGTGCTCCAGATCAGTGTCTATTTGATTTAGCCTAAAGCTGGCTAAAGCTGGTTAACATGCTAAGGAGCATGCACGCACCTCTCCCACCAGCCAGCTGGTCTTCGGATCTCTGCCGCGCATGTGTGTGTGTGTGTGTGCATGCATGTGGGGGGCCTGTGCACACATGCATGGGGGTGGGGTGCATGTGTGGCCCCCCCACGCGCATTGCATTTTTGGGGTTTGGGCATGCGCTTTGGACACTCAGTCCAGAAAAGGTTAGCCATCATTGGTATGTGGTCTCCTACTTGTGCAGGGGACTGGCCCCTTCTGATTCTGTTATTCCGATGTTCTCCAAATGCATTGGTACTGCAACTCCCCAAACTCCCAGCTGCCCAAAGTGTGTTAAATTGAGGAAGGATGATTTATGCGTCCATTCGTCCCCCTTTCCGCTATCAAAAGAACAATTGCTGAAGAAGAACAGTCTGCTTTTAGACTCCGTGAAGCCTATCACACAGAAACTGTGTTTAACTAAGACAGTTATCAGTTCTGAGCTAGAAAAACCCCAGATCATCCTAAATGCTGCATTCTAATATTCATCCTGATATTTTTAGCCCAGGTCTGATGGTCCTTGATTGATGTTGTTGCTCCCTTGGGGCTCACACAAAGACTATGAAAAGGTGGAAGCATGTAAACACCACCCCAGAAAACCACTATTTTGTTCAGTTCCTCCAACTCACAGCCAGAAACTATGCATTGGCTTGCTTCTGATACTTGCCTGGCTATAAATGAGAAGAACACTTTTTACAGAGCCACAGGCAGCTAGGGGAGGCATATGACAAAAGATACCTTGTGATCAGTGGTGGAATTCAATTTTTTTTTACTACCGGTTCTCCAAATATCCTGAATACTCAACTCTTCTATCATTGTAAAAAAAGATTTCGACAATATTCTTCTGGATTTTTTATTTGTCTTCATTGTTTTATAGTCCAGATCCACATTTGTTACAGCATTAAAATCATCCATTATACATACATATTCATAATCCAATTCTAAAATTTTTCTGTGTAGTCTCCGATAAAATTCTTCTTGTTTTTCATTTGGTGCATATATTGCTATCAAAAGTATTTGTTTACTTCCACCATCAAAATCCTGCCTTCTTCATCCTCAAAAAGTAATTTAGGTTCTAATTTTTCTTTAATATACAGCACCACTTCTCTTTTGCTTTGTTGTATCAATGATGTAAATAGAACTCCTAACTTTGGATATTGTAATAATTTTAAATGTTGTTTTCTAATATGCACTTCTTGTAGGCATATAATGTCCATCTTCAAGCTATTTAATTTAGATAAAGTTCTGTTTCTTTTTATCGCCACATTCAATCCAATTATTATTATTATTATTATTATTATTATTATTATTATTATTATTATTATTCATATTTCTATGCCTCCCACTGTCTGAGGACTCTGGGCGGCTTACACCAAAGACAGTATACTAAATAGCATATTGCCCCCAACAATCTGGATCCTCATTTTACCCACCTCGGAAGGATGGAAGGCTGAGTCAACCTTGAGCCGGTGAGATTTGATCTGCTGATCTGCTGAACTAGCAGTCAGCTGAAGTAGCTGCAGTACTGCACTCTAACCACTGCACCACCTCGGCTCGTTTATAGTTAAAGATATTGCTTTAATTTCTTCTTCCATGTTTTACTTGTTACTAGATTTTGATTTCATCGCCCTTGTCTCTCTTTGTTCCATTGGATCTTTAGATTGTGCTCCTTCTTTTAGGGCTCTTCCTTCCTCTACTTTTTCATCTTTCTCTTTCTCTTTTTGCTTTGTCTCTCCTATTGCTCCCAAGTCTTCTTCTAGTGGTCCACAAAATTGTTGATAAAATAGTTTTGCTTTTTCAATGGAGTCAAGTCTATGTCTTTGTTCTTGCCATGTCACCAAAATTCCTTCTGGTATTAACCATCTAAAATTCACTCCTTTGAATATTAGGAACTTCATAAGAAACTGATATTCTCTCCTCAATTCTCTAACTATTCTAGGTATTTGTCTTAATACCACAATTTCTTTATCTTTGTGTTTCGGTGCTGTATTTCTTGCTGCTTGTAATATCTCTGTTTTCATTGCCTTCTTTGTAAATCTTACATGTACTTCTCTCAGTAGTTAGTTCCTCATGGCATATCTTGTGTATACTCTAAAGGCTTCATCAATCTCGTTTAAGATCTTTTCCTTGGATTGTTCCAAAATTTCTGATAGTATCTCAGCAATCATCTCAGGTAAATTTTCTATATTTTTGAATCTTAAGTAAAACTCAGAACGTTCCATCTCCAACAGGATAATTGACTTTTCAGTTGGTGCCAATTTTTCTTCTAATGTCTCAACTTTCTTTTCTGTCATTTCCGCCTTTTCTTCTACTTTCTGGATTCTCTCTTCATTTTTCCCAATCATGGCTTTTATTTCTTTTATTTCCTGTTTTAAGTTATCATGAAGTGATTGTATAAAATTTCTTAATTCCATCATCTCCGAAGTTTTCTGTGTTTCTGTTTTTTTTTTATTGAAAAAGTTTTCAAATACAAATTTCCCCCCCTTTTTTCCTTCCCCCCTCCTCCCTAACCCCCCCCTCGCCACCCATCCCCCCCTGTGACTTCTTCACACCAAAAACCTAATTCATAACAGATTACATAATATTTTACCATCTCCTTACTCCCTCCTCTACATACTGACCCTTACTTACTAAAAATATTATTGATATTGTTACTTTCCCCTTTTACCATACATTTCAAAAAAAAAAGCAGTCTGCTATAACATTGTATGATAACTTCTAATTTAGCATAATATTATTATAACTCCCAATTTAGCAATAATCTGCCCTTTTTGTCCTCCCCAAAACTTATATCTATATATTATTACAACATTTCAAAGCAACCTTCCACTTTAAGACTATATAATAAATCCTACTTTAACATTTATTCTTTGTGTATATTAATATAACATTTCAAAGCAGCCTTCCCCATAAGTCCTAATTTAACATTTATTCAACTCTATCCATTTCCTCCACTGCCCTAAATATATCACTTAAACATCCCTTTTCTTAAACTAATCAATCAGTTAACTAACATATTTCGACCCACTTTCCTACAAAATTACCATGCACAACAATTCTTAATATCTTTAATCCACTGCCCACTCTGCTAATATATATATATATATGTATATATTCCGTTATTTAAAAAAAAAAAGACAATAACTTTAAATTTATAATCCATATAATATCTTCTTTGATGTCTTTCCACTGGATTGTTGAGTCCCTCATCCATAATTGGGTAACGTAGCATCCTGGTGCAACAGTTTGTTCAAAGTCTTCAGTCATCATCTGCCCCCATCAGTAATGAATATCCTCATATATATATAAAAGTAAAAACAACCACCCGAGTGACATTATGATTATATTCCATATAGTTGTAATTGTGGCTTTCATCAGGATTATTAATTCCCATCATCCTAATGGGTAACAACCAGATCTTCTGCATGCCCCAACGTAGCTCTCTTGCCTTGTAGCTCAGAATAGTTATAATATATTTATCAATACAAGAAAGAAATCCAAAATAGATAATTCAAATCCAACAGTTTAAGGCTCTTTTCACATCCCAAAATTACGGCATTGCAGAGGTCTGTCACTGTCCTCAGGATGATATTAACCAATACTTCGCCTCCACTATCTTTTCACATATTCATTCATTTTTTAAAAAATCACTGGCTTCACCGTTGCTTAATTTAGAAATTTCTGTTTTTGTGAGACCTATTTCTTTTTTTCTTTTCTTTTTGTGGGTTTAATTTCCATCCTGTTTTCCTTTCTACAAGTTGTATATCAACTGATCGGTTTTCATTCTGCTTTATAAGTTGATCTTGTTGGTTTTGTTTTTGTATCTCATATTTCTTTTTTGCCAATTGTATGTCAGCTAATTGATTTCCATACTTGTCTTTGACTTGGTGAATCATCACGTTGAAATCAGATGCCGCTTCTCTCATATTTGTAGATAATCCAGCTGGGGTATCGAGAGAATCCAAAGGCAATTTGTCTACCGCAACCTCTGTAATTCGATGTTTTCCCTTTATTTCCAACTCCTTCTGCTTATCCTGTATTGTGCCTATAGATGTTAAGTTCATTTTCAAAATTTTTTGATAAAATTATTCCGCTTTTTCAACAGTATCTAATTGGTATCTTTCTCCTTGATATCTCAATATTATGCCAACTGGGGCATCCCACCTAAATGAAATATTTCTGTATTTTAACTCAGTCACCAGAAAACCAAATTTCTTCCTTTCCGTTAACATCTTGGGGGGGAGCTCTTTGTAGATCCATATCTTTCTTCCATACAATTGCAAAGTAGAATTGAAGGAATTTTGCACAATATTATTCCTAATTTCTTTATCTGTAAAATAAATCACCACATCTCTAGGCAATTGCCTTTGCTTTGCAATCCAGGAGTTTATTCTGTAAACTCTGTCAATCCTACAAAACACTTCCTCAGGTTGAACCTTTAAAATCCCAGCCAGAATTTCAGAAGATATTTTCCTTAAATCATCTCTGTTATTTTCCTGCAAACCTCTCAGTCTGATCGCATATTCTGTAAAATTGTAATGCACCATTAGAACCTCTCTTTCAATCCGTTGTTGTAAATTTTCTGCATTACAAGACTTTTGTTCAACCTCCATTTTAGGTTTTTCTTCTGAGCTATTGTCTTGAATGTTTGTCAAATCATTTTCAATTTTTTGTATTTTATTGTCCAAATTGTCCTCAATTTCTTCCACTTTAGACTCTAATAAGTTAGTATTTTCATCCAACTTAATCATAAATTCTGCAAAGCCATTAGCCATTTTTTATAATCTTTCGATCCAGAATATCAAACTTTAATTGCACTAATTCTTTAATTTCCTGCTTAAATTTTTCAAAGTTCTGATTCACAATCTCATCCCTTCTTACAATCTCCTCCAAAAGAAATTCAATTATATTAAAATCAGTTTTCTGAGACTGGAGCTTTAAAACTTGGTCACGTAATTTGTTAATGGGGGAATCCCCCCCCATTGCTTGTTTGACCGGCTTTAATGCCATATTTCAACACAGACAAACTATTTTTTAAAAAAAAAGAAAAGAGAGGCAGCAGAGAAAAAAAACTTCTTTCCAACCAAGATCAATATCAGATCTCCAGGAAGAGAAAAAACACAAAAGGAGAGCTTTATTTTCAAGTGTAGCCAAAAGTATTTATTCAGCTACTTTGTATCTCAATAGGAAACGGAAGGACTCTCCCTTTCAGCCCCTTCTCAAGCCTCGGCAATCGCCCTTTTTAAAGATTCTTTTTTCCTTTTCCTTTTCCTTCTTCAATAATTGTTATAAAATAAGTGAGATACTTGCGATTCAGGGTCACAGATCCAGCTCATATCCCTTCAAATGTAGCCAGGAGCATTTATTCTGCTACTTTGTGGCTTAATAAGAAACGGAAGGACTTTCTCTTTTCAGCTTCCCTGTTCCAGTTTCGGCAATTGCCATTTTAAAAGGTCTTTTTTACTTTGTTGAATATCCTTTGCGAAATAAGTATTAATACTTGCAATTTAGGGTCACAGGTCCAGATCCAAATCTCATCATCTTTAGTTAATCTGTTAAATATCTTAAAAAGCTTGTCTTCGTAGCCTTGTTCTGCAAAAAGGCAGAAGTCTCCCAACGCCCGGAGCGGGCGGCGAGTGCTATAGGGAGCTTCCTCCGCCCGCCCCCAAGAGTAAAAAAAAAAAAACCCTGGGGGCTACGGAGAGCTCTACCTACACTCACCTCCTCTATCCCACATTTCCTCCTGGAAATGGGGTTTTTCGAGCCGCCTTTGCGCTGTACAGGTGGCTCTTTACAGGCGAAGGGGCTGGCGGTCCCGAGGGACCGTCTGGTGGCTACGAAGAGCAAACCGGAAGTCCCGTTTTCTGTGTTTCTGTTGATGAGGGACTTGCTGTTGGGTGTGGGTGTGATATAAAATTTCTTCATATTTATAATCCAGGTGCCTAATCCTCTCCAATGGTTGGATTAGGTAAAAAGAATAATAATAATAAAAATGAAAATGAAAGATAAGATACAAAAATTAAAAAAACAAAAATTCCAATCAACCACCTCCCTCAAAAATCAAATTCCCAAATACTCCAACAGAGAGAGAGAGAAAAAAAAAAGAGAGAAAAAATACAACTGCCAAAAGTAAAAGATAAAAATACAAATCCAAACAACCAAAAAGGAAAAATGTTCTTCTGACTCTTCCAATCTTAATCCAATTTCTTGTCAATCTAGTTTTGGAACTTCAAAGCAATCATCAGTCAGTGAATAATAATAATAAAAGATTAAAAGCCAAAAGGAAAGTTCAAAATCCAGTCTTCTCTCTTATACATTTGTTTTCTTTATCAGTCTACCAAAATGTCAAGGTCAACTATACTCAGTGTTTCTTCCAAGTCAAAATCTTTTCCCTTCTGCCACTAGATGGCATTGCAGACTAGCTTTCAAGAACACAGCAAACTTTTTAAAGCAATCTTCAATTTTGTTTTATCTTTTAAGAACAGTTTTTTTTAAAGAAAACAATCTTTAAAGTTTCGTTTTCTCAGTTATCATCATTCCAGCATTTTAATAGAAATGGGATTCAATCATTAATTCATTTAGTCCCAATTTCTTATTTTTAAGAAATTACTTTTCTTTTCTCAACCACAAAGAAAAATATAAAAAAGAAAGAAAAAAGAGGCTTTTGTCTCTTCTCCGCAGCCAGATTCCCGGATGTGAAAGCGGATACACACCCACTCTCACTCCTCACTCTCAGCCCATCTATTCTCATTTAAATGCCAGTTGGATTCAAAGGGAAAAGTCTTTTGTAAAAATCAGAGTCTTTCTCACCTCGATGTCTCACTTTGCTTTCCTGTCATCTTCTTTCATTACTGCCACCACAGCTTCCTAGCAACTTCTAAGGCCGCTTTCTCAGCAGTTCGGTTTGAGGAGCTTCTGGTTCAGCCAGGGAGTTTGCGATCCCCCTATGCTGACCAGTCCATGCTCCCCTTGTTTATCATTCCTTCAGGATGACTTAGGTCACTTTGGACCCTCGGACTGCAGAGATATCGACAGGTCCTCAAGAGATCTTAAAGAACCCGACTTGCCACTGCGACATTGGCCACGCTTCAATTTTTTTTACTACCAGTTCTGTGGGCGTGGCTTGGTGGGTGTGGTGTGGCTTGGTGGGCATGGCAGGGGAAGGATACTGTAAAATCTCCATTCCCTCCCCAGTCCAAGGGAAGGATACTGCAAAATCCCCATTCCCTCCCCACTCTGGGGCCAGACAGAAGTGGTATTTGCCGGTTCTCCAAACTACTCAAAATTTCCACTACTGGTTCTCCAGAGCCTGTCAGAACCTGCTGATTAGCACCCATGCTTGTGACATTATGCAAGCTCATTGATACATACTTGTGTGTGATGTCACCATGGAAGTAGAAGAAGGGAGAAGTTGCAGTGTGACATCACAATGTATATTTATTCTTTGAGACATCATTATGATTAGGGATGGATACCTATGCCTAGGACTACCCTAAATCAGCACCGTCAATTATATGTGGCTGAACCTTACCCTAGCCAAGGTATTCTTAGCACTTGTTATCACCTAGCACCATATTTTAGAAACTTGTTCACAAAACAAAAGAAAAATTTGAATTCATCAGACTTTTAATTCAAACCAATATTCATACTAGTAGTAAACAGTGGTGCTTAAAAATTTATGAATGTTTGAATTGTCAATATTTCTACATAAATATGACCTAAAACATGATGTGTTCTCCACACAAATCTCCAATAAACAAATGAGTCAAAAATATTATACTCCCAAAGGATGGTGAGAATGATCCAACTTCCCAGAAAAACTAAACTCTCCTATAAGTCTTTGCAGTCTTTGAGCATGTTACCAATGACCTTTTCTATGAAAGAGAAGATGGGTGGAAACAAAGAAGAGATAATGATAATGAAATTGCTTTCTACTTGTCTTTTTTCTTAGCGGTGTATTTCGAAGAGATGCAGAGAAAACTTGGGTCATCTTACAGTAACCAGTAGGTAATAGCTGGACCATGTCCTTTCTCATAAACTATTATTTTCAGTGCCTTTATTTGAAACGGCAGTAAAATATTCATACAATTCTTTGCTATTCTTTTTTTTATTATTATTATTATGGAGAAGACATTCTATTCTCTTGACTCTGCTGAGCAGCTCATGATAGATAGATAGATAGATAGATAGATAGATAGAGAGAGAGAGAGAGAGAGAGAGAGAGAGAGAGAGAGGTTGGGTGGGTGGGTGGGATGGATGGATGGATGGATGGATGGATGGATAGATAGATAGATAGATAGATAGATAGATAGATAGATAGATAGATAGATAGATAGAATTCTTTATTGGCCAAGTATGATTGGACACACAAGGAATTTGTCTTTGGTGCATACGCTCTCAGTGTACATAAAAAGAAAAGATACATTCGTCAAGAATCATAAGGTACAACATTAATGATAGTCATAGGGTACAAATAAGCAATCAAATAATATTAGGAAACAGTCAATATAAATTATAAGGATACAGCAACAAGTTACAGTCATATAGTCATAAGTGGGAGGAGATGAGTGATAGGAACGATGAGAAGATTAATAGTAATAGTAATGCAGACTTAGTGAATAATTTGACAGTGCTGAGGGAGTAATTTGTTTAGCAGAGTGATGGTGTTTTTGTGTCTAGTTGTTCTGGTATGCAGTGCTCTATAGCATCATTTTGAGGGTAGGAGTTGAAACAATTTATGTCCAGTATGCGAGGGATCTGTAAATATTTATGGATGTGTATCCAGCTCATGTGTTTCCTGCCCACCTCAGGGGTGAAATCCAGCCGGTTCTATCCAGCTCAGGCGAACCAGTAGCGGCGGCTGTGGGAGGCTCCGCCCACCCGCATGGACATCATGATGTTGCTTTCTTGTGACATTTTAAACCTCTGCGCTTGCGCAGATGATGGTGTGGGCGAGCGTGCGCACAGCGCGTGCACATTTGCAAAAAAAGTAGGGAAGGTAAGTAAATTTCACCCCTGCCCCACCTCAACCTCAATTCCAAGTTCCTTCTATTCAACTACTGGCTGTTGTGAAAGTACACAATAATTCTTGGTCTACTGCATGTACAAATTTGTTGTTGTTATTTTACACTGTAGTGGTCTTGGAATTGAAGAAAAAGGAAAATGGCTAGCAAGTAAAATTGGGGCTAGGCCTTCTTGAGATGCTGAAAAGATACAGTTCCAGAGTGATTCGGGGTCATTGAAGAGAAGACAATGTGGATTCTGTCCACCCAACAGAGATTTTCAGAGGGAGAAGGGACCAGAAAGAAGATTATTGTTCTGCTTCTGCTAATATGACAAAATGTCTAATTATGACTAAATCCCTGTAAGAATTATTCATGGAAACATGAATAAACAAGCTAATAATAGACTTGAAACAGGATGAGAAAATATCTAGAACAAACTTTTCTTCATATGAATAATAAAGGTAAAAAAAGGAACAGCCTGAATCTGGTCCAGAAAGTGGTGTCCAAAGAGTTGGACTTCTGAAAGGGAAAAAAAAAATCTTATATACATGATAAATCTCTAATGAGAATGGAGAGGTTAACGTGGCGGAAACCATGACAGAAAGATGACAACATCACTACTGATGTAGACCATGAAGTCTTCATTGATTGGCATTCCAGCTTTAGTCATTATTCATTGTGTCATTGTGTTTAAATTATTGTCCAGCTTTGTTTGAACACATCCAATGAACAGAGGCACACGGCTTCTCCATATAGTTGATTACACTAATAAGCAGCCCTTATTGTTAATGTGTTTTTCCTAGCATTGCAGATTCTGCTTTCCTGTAAAGTAAAATAATTTTCAAGGTTTTGTATTTTGTACGCCAGATCTTCTTTGTTGTGATACCTGTTCAAATATTTATGAAATGCTATCATACTCCATACTTTCCTGAAGGCTAAATATTTTCTCAAGACTACTCATTTCCAGTCCTGTGAGCATCCTCATTTTCTACACTTGTCCTGCTTACTCTGAATTTTTATTATGGTGCCAGAACTGAGCATACGGTTGACTCATTTGTAGCTTGTGATCAATTACAAATCATTTTCACACATATTGTTACCAGTCCCAGTATCCCCCATCCAATTTCTTTTCTTGTTCATGTGAAGAATTTTACATTTGTCTTTATTAAATGTCATTTTATTGTTTCATCCGAGAGAATGGTGATGAAAATAACTGGCTTTATTTAACTTAATCTTGTTTCAACTTCTAGTATTAGAAGAATGAAAGTATTAGAAGTTCTCTGTCCTTTTATCTTCTCATCCAAAACTTTAAAGAAAATATTGATGTGTATTAGGCCCAGAACCAACCCCTGTGACAATGATAGTTTTGTCTGATTTGATGAGGAATTATTGATGAACATCTTTGACACTGTTTTCAAGCTAGCTGTAATAGACATATATCAGTCTTACAAAGGAGAAGTGTTTTGTCAAACATTGTACTCAAGTCAAGTTATATTATGTCCACATGACTCCCACTATCTATTAAGTATTTACTCAGTAAAAGTAGCAAGACTAATGTAATAAGAAGTGGTTTTGGTCAATTGTGCGGATTTCTACTCAATACAGCACTTAACTGGTCTGACATTTTTGGGTCTTCCTTTTCCACTTTTTGCAAATAAGGATATTTGCTCTTCTCCAATCACCTGGTATTTCACTCATTGTCTAGAGTTTTTCAAAGATAGGAATTTGGTCAGACCATCAACAAGGTTATTCAGCATCTTGGTACTTAAGCAAAATAAACATCTACGAAGTAGTTCTTTAAGAAGTTCTAAAACTTCCTTTAATATAATTAATTGAAGTCAAGATGGTAGTGTCATTTATTTTTAATAATAATAATAATAGCCTTTATTGTCATTGTACATTGTATACAACAAAATTGGTTGCTTACTTTTACTTATCAATTCATCTAAGTTTTAAATATGTGGCATACTTCGCCAATCTCACATTGACACAATATCATTTTGATGTTTTCTTTTTTTTAAAAAAATATAGTTTTTATTAAAACTTTTAAACAAAAAAAGTAAAAGCTAACACAAACTAATAGACAGTAAGCAAAGAAAAAGAGTCCATAAGAAAAGTGGCTTCTGATAATTTTCACAGCAGTCATAAATCAAATATATTTTGACCTCTATCTCCTAAATTACATCATGTTACCCTCGGTTTTATCTATCCTGTCTAATCATCAAAATTATTTCACAGGGTTTTTTTTCATTTTCCTTATACATGATAAAGCTCCTAAGAAGCTTCCAATCAGCAATAAATGTAGATAATGTCTTTTTCTCTAATCAAATAATTTATCCATTTCAGCAACAATCTGAATATTTTGGTGTTTTCTAACCCATATTTTGAGGTTTTATATATATGAGAATAAAGGTAAAGGTTCCCCTTGCACATATGTGCTAGTCGTTCCCGACTCTAGGGGGTGGTGCTCATCTCCATTTCAAAGCCAAAGAGCCAGCACTGTCTGAAGACGTCTCTGTGGTCATGTGGCTGGCATGACTAAATGCCAAAGGCGCATGGAATGCTGTTACCTTCCCACCATAGGTGGTCCCTATTTTTTCTACTTTCATTTTTTACGTGCTTTCAAACTGCTAGGTTGGCAGAAGCTGGGACAAGTAACAGGAGCTCACCCTGTTACACAGCACTAGGGATTCGAACCGCTGATCTGCCAACCTTTCAATCGACAAGCTCAGCCACTGAGCCACCGCGTATCTTTATGAGAATATGTAGTGGCAACTGACAACTCCCTTGAAACGTCAGGAGCAAACTTTTATTGACCCAGATATCAAGTTCTCAAAGGAGGTACAGGTCATCCTCTTTTAATAATCATCTTGTTTAGTGACCATTCACAGTTACCATAGTAACAAAAAAAGCTAGAGAGGATGAAAATATTTAATATAATTAGCAGCAAATCTAGTAATGATGGTAATAAATGGAATTAAATTGAAATATTTTTTTTAAAGAAAAAGATAAGAGGCAAAAAAGTGATCAGGCTAACCTATAGCTTGAAGTTGCTGATTGACAGCTCCTGAGGAATGGGTTTGTTGCAGGGAAGAAAGGTTCCCTTTGTCATGAAGGAGGAGGGAGTAGGGGTTGCTATCATAACTAGGCATCCAGGCAGCAAAAGGTGGTATATTTTTAACTTTCTAATGTGAACCTGATTGACTGTAATCTGTCCCTCATTGTTCAGTGAGAAGAATTCCAACCTGGTGTACAAATGTGCATACCCAACTCTGTAGTACATTAGAAAAGATTGTTATGTACAGTTAAGAGTCAGGTAAGACCATTTGTGTTCTCTCCATTCGTGTTTCTTGGTTCATGTCAGCATTCTTCAGACCAGGAGTGTCCAACCTTGGCAACTTTAACACTTGTAGACTTCAACTCCCAGAATTCCCCAGCCAGCGATGTCATCCTAAAAGATATTCCATCAGGATCAGGATCCTGACATAGAAAAGGTTCTCCCACCATCACTTTCCGGTTTAAAGCAGGGGTGTCCAATTTTGGCAATTTTAAGACTTGTGGACTTGTGGCTGGGGCCTTCTGGGAGATAAAGTCCACAAGTCTTAAAGTTGCCAAGGTTGGATACCCCTGCTTCAGACCGAAAAGTGATGGTGGGAAAACCTTTTCTATGCCAGGACCCTGATCCTAAAGGAATATCTTTCAGGGCCAGCCTTCCCAACTAGTTGCAATAGACGCAATTTACATAGACTTCTGTAAAGCCTTTGATTCACGACAAACTACTTCAAAAATTAAAATCTTATGGCATTTCTGGACTCCTACATAAATGGATAGCTGCCTTCATGTCAAACAGGCAACAAGTGGTCAAAATAGGAAGCGCTCTATCAAATCCTGTACCTGTTAACAGTGGTGTTCCCCAAGGCAGCATTTTAGGTCCAACACTCTTTATACTTTACATAAATGACCTTTGCGATCATATTAAAAGCAACTGAGTTCTCTTCGCTGATGATGTAAAACTATTTAACACTACCGACAATGCTACTACCCTTCAAAAAGACCTTGACTATATGTCAGATTGGTCAAACAAATGGCAACTTCAAATCTCAGCCAACAAATGCTCTGTCTTGCACATTGGCAAAAAAAAATCAGAACATAAAATACAAGTTAGATGGACATGATCTTGAAGACAACCCTCACTCTGTCAAGGATCTTGGAGTACTCATTTCTAAAGATCTAAGTGACAGAGCCCACTGTAACAACATTGCCAAAAAGGCATTAAGGGTTGTTAACCTAATCTTGCATAGCTTCTTTTCTGGTAATATTGTTCTACTAACTAGAGCATACAAAACATTTGCTAGACCAATTCTTGAATACAGCTCATCTGTCTGGAACCTGCACTGCATATCGGACATTAATACAATTGAGAGAGTCCAGAGATATTTCACGAAAAGTGTCCTCCATTCCTCAACCCACAATAGGATATTTTATGCCACCAGACTTGAAATTTTGGGCTTAGACAACTTAGAACTACACCGCCTTTGGTCTGACCTAAACATAGTACATAAAATTATCTGCCACAATGTCCTACCTGTCAATGACTACTTCAGCTTCAACCACAACAATATACGAGCAAACAATAGATACAAACTTAAGGTAAACCACTCCAAACTCAATTGCAGAAAATATGACTTCAGCAACAGAGTCATCAATGCTTGGAATGAACTACCTGACTCTGTGGTTTCTTCCCCAAACCCCCAAAACTTTAACCTTAGACTGTGTACTGTTGACCTCACCCCATTCCTAAGAGGTCTGTAAGGGGTGTGCATAAGCGCACCATTGTGCCTACTGTCCCTGTCCTAATGTCCCTTTTTACTTGTATCCTTCTCAAGTATTCAAATCATGTTTACACTTTTATCTGTTATTTTATATATGCTTGACAAATAAATAAAAATAGTTGAGAGGGAGGAGTTAGTAAACAACATCAGCATTACATTACATGGTTTTCCCCTAGGAGTAGAAAGCTATTTCATGCTGTCCACTCATTCGCATCACATACTTGAAACAATAATTCCAGGAATTTAGGAAAAGCTCAAACGTGTGCTAAAAGCACATTATAATGATACTTGAAGCTCGGAGTTAAAATTGTAGACACAGATCACTTTTGCCCCCCCCACCCAAATTTACAATTAGAGTACGAAGGCATATGCATGACTCATTGTCGGAGGAGCACAATGGGCTGATAATTTCTTTGTGAATAACTGTTCAGATGGTGTTTTCTGAGTGGGGAAAAATACAAGCTCATAGAAGTGACTCATGCCAAACAGGACCTCATTAAACATGATGAATCACATTTGTGATATGGATGTAAGTCTCTGTGTCACCATAGCATCTTTACGTTGGTGCCTAATATTCTGGAATGGTCTGCTTGGGTTCTACACCTCACATTGCACAGAGGTTTCTGCTCCTGCCATGGCTCAAATTATTAAATTCCTTTCATAGTTTAAACATCCATACTAATATTTTGAATTTTACTTCTCTTCCTTTTTTATATAGATATTTAAAGACTTTTAAACCAGGAGATTTTGAGTGTTACTTAGGGGTTGGGAGTGGGAGGCACTGTTTTACGGTGGTTCTCCTCCTACCTCTTTGGACGCTCGCAAGTGGTGTTGGTGGGGGGGGGCAGAGGTTGATCCCGAGGCCCCTCACATGTGGGGTTCCTCAGGGGTCGGTTCTCTCTCCCCTGCTGTTTAACATCTATATGAAGCCTCTGGGGGAGATCATCCCTGGTTTGGGGGTGGGGTATCATCAGTATGCTGATGATAGCCAACTTTTTATATCCACCCTGAATCAGC